AGAAAGTGCTGATTGTGTATGCCCATGAAAGCCCTGCCTCTTTCAATGCTGCTGCCAAAGATGCTGCTGTGGCAGCTCTGACTGCTCAAGGCTGCACTGTAGAGGTGTCTGACCTGTACGCCATGAAGTTCAAAGCTGCTGCTACGACTGAGGACACCACTGGTATACAAATATTCTGCAGGTATAGCAATGCTTTGAATGCTCTTCAGATGCAAACACTAAATTTTTGTTGCAGGTGGTGTGAAGACTGCAGCGGACTGCTATGCAGATCAGATTAAATTGGCATGGGAGGAGGGCAGAATTGCAGATAACATCAAAAAAGAGCAGGAGAAGCTCAAGGAGGCAGACCTTGTCATCTTTCAGGTAGTGTCTGAAATGTGTATGGTCAACTAACAGGTGTCAACATCAAAATGACCATTAAACCTGTGTTCCTAGTTCCCCATGTACTGGTCATCTGTTCCTGCAATCATGAAGGGGTGGATGGATCGGGTGTTGGGCTGTGCCTACGCACAGGAGAAGTGGTACAGTGAGGGGATCTTCAAGGTGAAAGCTCCACCAACGTGTCTGTGTTCAGGCTGTGTCCTCTCCCTCTTTGCTCACTCCTTGCTCTCTGTACAGGACAAGAAAGCCATGCTGTCCTTCACCACTGACTGTCCTGAATCTGTGTACAGTGACACTGGCATCAATGGTGACATCAATGTCACACTGTGGCCACTGCAGGTGAGGTCTCACTATAAACAGAGCCAAGCATTGAATGATCTGTCATGTTGTAACAGCTGCTCCTCCCTGTGTGCAGAACGGGATCCTGAACTACTGTGGCTTCCAGGTTTTTGCCCCTCAGATCTTCTGGGATCCTGCTACTGGTTCTCCTGAATCTCGCAGCTCCATGCTGGAGGGCTGGCGCACACGGCTGCAAAACCTCTGTGGGGAAGCACCTGTGTACTTTGCTCCCTTGGACTACTTTGACAAGGAGAAGGGTTTCCTGCTGAAGCCTGAGATCAAAGAGAAATATGCCAGCAAAGAATGTGGCCTCACAGTGGGGATCCACATGGGCAAGCCACTGCCAGCCAACAGCCAGACCAAGGCCGGGGTCTGACAATGTAGTGGGTCCATGTAATGTCTTGATCTTAAAATAAAGCCTGCTTTATTCAAACTTTGAGCAATGAGTTATAAATGCACCACTTGGGTTTCATACATGTTATCCCTCTAGAACATGATGTATACTACCACAATGTAATGATTGTTCTAAGT